GACAGTAAAAGCTTTTGTCAATGCATGCTTCAAATGCAGTGACTATAACCAGCAAGTCAATGCTTTTGAAACATGACTTTAAGGCAACTTGCTTAAAGGACAACTCTCCCTCAAATCCACTTTTTTTGCTGATAAAAGGTATAAATGAGTGTCCAATAGTGTTGTCTACATATCCTGGTCATAATTTTGTCACTTTGGTGCAAATTAGTTGAAAGTTAAACTTTCTGCCTAAAACCGTCTGTGAGGCGCCATCTGCTGGCGACCTGTATTACTACATTTGAATTTTGAATCTGGCGCCAACACTGGCGCGGCAGCAAGACCTGACGTCTGCAGCAAGACCTGACGTCTGCAGCAAGACCTGACGTCTGCAGCAAGACCTGACGTCAGCAGCCCCCCGCCCAGAGCAATGTAAACGGCCCAGTCTCGTTCACGCCCCCTTTAGTCCTCCAGGCTACGCCCATTTAGAGGAAGATTTGAACAGGAAATGTGAGTGACGTAAGCTCCGAGGAGCGGGGGTGAGAACCACAGTAATTTTACCAACTCCCAACGCCCACAGGTACAGGTGCTCATTATTGTGGCCGATGGTGCTGTTTTTTTCCCCCCAGACGGGACCACAATGGCCTTCCTCCCGTAAACCAGACTGTTTACAAAGAATATAGAGCCCTCCATTGTCACACGTTTGGTGCCACAGTCGTAGACCGGGATCTCCAGATGGGTGGGGTTGGCCCAGGACAGTCTGTACAACTTGCAGCGAGGGCAGCGGCTCTCTGGTGGACACAAGATTTGTAAAGTACAAACACGTGATTAGTGCTTCAAAATCTCCATTTTAATTACTATAAATGTAAGTGTGTAACTATCACTGTTGTGCAGTGAAAATTCAAAGTGTGATTCAAACGTTTGTTTTCAAACTCACTTTGTACTGAGGCGAGGCCTGAGGGTCTACAATTTTACACTACAATTTTAAAGTACAAACATGTGATTAGTGCTTTAAAGTCTCCACTTGCATTACTATAAATCTAAATGTGTAGCCTAATAACTGTATAGCTGTTGTGTGAATCACTTTCAGTTTTAACTACATAATTCTTTTTTAAAATGACTTCAGCCGAGGGCTGAGGAGCAGGTATTATTATTATCATCAAGGAATCATCTCGTTTCCGAGGGGGTCGCATATCATTAGTACTTGGTGTAGCATAGTACACAACATAACTGTTCAAACTCACAAAATGCAATCTACCCCACAATTTTCAAACTCACTTTTGGATTGGGTCACTTATCTATTAGAACGCTAGAATTTTTGAGGAAACCCGTTGTGATTACACATCATAGCTTAATTCTTGAACACGATAATACACTTTATCAACATATACTTTGTTAGATCCTTGTGAAGATAACATTTTACAAAATTAACGGCACTACAGATGGATCTGCATTTTGTTAGTGATTACATGCCACCCGCGCGCAAGTTTGTGCGAAACATGAGGAAGCTCCAAGGCGAGTGCGATTCAGAGTTTTTAATGCTGGTGTTGGTGCCGTCTGTGGTGGCGTTCGCTCTCGAAGCGGCCGCTGCGTCTCTGTGTGGTACGTCTCTGTGCGTTTTTATTTGCATGTGTCTGTCTCTGTGCGCGTACGTGTATGTACATGTGTATCTATGTGTGGTACGTTTCTGTGCGCGTATGTACATGCATCTGTCTGTGTGCGTTTCTCCATGCGTTTGAGTCTGGCTCTGTGTGTGTACATGTGTGTCTGTATTGGGCCTGTCGCGATAGTCAATAAATCAATTAATCGCACGATAAATAAAATTTGCTCAATAACTTTTCTGGCCGCGATAAATCCCATTTGCATGCTTGTTTGACCCAAGAAAGACTGGGGAAACAGAGAGCCGCAAAGTGGTCACGGAAACATTAGCGGTCTAGCAAGCAGACGGAAATTACTCAAATACAAAATACAGCCAAAACAGGACCTAAACCAGGACTTAACCAGCATTGACAATGGGGGACACAGTAGTTGTGAACATATGCCGGCAGCTGAGTTCTCATTCAGGCTTGATTAGTGACTATACTAGCGCAGCTAGCGTTAGCGTGTTCGCCGATGCAGAAGTACCATACCGGTCGGCACTAGATCATATACGGAATCGGGACGGAAGCGGAAGTAAAAATAACAAACTACCTATTCATGCCTAAACTTAACCAGCCATTCCCATAAAATAACCCCAACCCAGCCTTAACCCTAAACTTAACCATCTTACTTAAACACCTAAAACTTAACCAGTCACCATTTAAGGAAGAATTAGTCTAAAATTAATTTGAAAGTAGGATTGTTACTTCCGGTTTCGTCCCGATTCCGTATATGATCTAGTGCCGACCGTACCGTACCATACCAATAAAATAAACTTATGGCGCACCTCCGTGAACACATACTGCTGTTATATATGAACTTATTTTTCAGTCGCTTTGATGCTGCCCCTGACACCTCTCCCTCCCCGACCCCCCACTACTCTAACGACCCACCCATCAGCCCTGCCCCCAGCCTGACAATAGCCGCTAAAGAGATTAAACAACTCTTCCTGAGGCTGCACCCCCGCAAAGCTCCTGGCCCGGACCACGTGTCTCCGGCCACTCTGAGACACTGCGCCAGTGAGCTTACTCCTGTGTTCACGGACATTTTCAACACCTCTCTGCAGTCCTGCCATGTCCCGGCCTGCTTCAAATCCTCCATCATTGTCCCCGTCCCGAAGAAGCCCAGGATCACAGGACTCAATGACTACAGACCTGTAGCACTTACTTCTGTCGTCATGAAGTCATTTGAACGCCTGGTTCTCTCCCATCTCAAGTCCCTCACCTCCCCCCTCCTGGACCCCCTGCAGTTCGCCTACAGAGCCAACAGATCTGTAGACGACGCCATTAACCTGGCCCTCCACCACATCCTACAGCACCTGGACTCCCCGGGGACCTACGCCAGGGTCCTGTTCGTGGACTTCAGCTCTGCCTTCAACACAATCCTGCCATCCCTGCTCCAGGACAAGCTCACCCAGCTCAACGTGCCCGATTCCACCTGCAGGTGGATCACTGACTTCCTGACGGACAGGAAGCAGCGAGTGCGTCTGGGGAAGAATGTCTCGGACTCTCGGATTATAAATACAGGAGCCCCACAGGGCTGTGTTCTCTCTCCCCTGCTCTTCTCCCTGTACACCAACCACTGCACCTCCAGCCACGACTCCGTGAAGCTGATCAAGTTCGCGGACGACACCAGCCTCATTGGACTCATCTCCAACAACGATGAGTCCGCCTACAGGAGGGAGGTGGACCGGCTGGTGTCCTGGTGCAGTGGTAACAACCTGGAGCTGAACGCCCAGAAGACAGTGGAGATGATTGTGGACTTCAGGAAGAGCACTGTCCCCCCGCCCCCACCCTCCGTGATGGACTCCCCCATCACCTCTGTGGAGTCCTTCCGTTTCCTGGGCACCACCATCACCCAGGACCTCAAGTGGGAGCCGACCATCAGCTCCCTCATCAAGAAGGCCCAGCAGAGGATGTACTTCCTGCGGCAGCTCAGGAAAGCCAAGCTGCCTGCACAGATGTTGGTGCAGTTCTACACGGCCATCATCGAGTCCATCCTCACCTCCTCCATCACCGTGTGGTTCGCTGGAGCCACAGTCAGGGACAAACAGAGACTAAAGCGCATTGTGCGCTCTGCAGAGGAAGTGATCGGCCGCAGCCTTCCATCGCTGCAGGACCTGTACGTCGCCCGAGCTCGAGGCCGGGCTGGTCGTATCACAGCCGACCCCTCTCACCCTGCACATGGACTATTCCAACCACTCCCCTCAGCCAGGAGGCTGCGGTCCATCAGGACTAGAACCTCCCGCCACAAGAACAGTTTCTTCCCCTCTGCTGTTGGACTCTTGAACACTTCTTAACCTGTCCCCCCGCCCTTTTAAAGTCACTTTACTGCCCATCATACGTCACTTTACTTCACTGTACTGCTGTCACCTTACATTGTGTGCACCATGTGCACTTGTATATTGTAAATAGTAACTGTAACTCTATTTTAAATTTAAATTTATTCTTTAGAAGTGTTTTTTATTCTTATTTTTTATTATCTCTTTTTGACTGTTGCACTGAGCCAAAGCAATTTCCAAGTCTGTGACCTCCTGTTACTTACGTTGGCAATAAAAATGATTCTGATTCTGATGATAAAGTCTCTAAACACAGAGATGCTGCAGACTTGCATTCTTGGAGTAGAACTTTACACAAAAAACCCGCTAGCTTAGCTGTTAGCATCAAAGCCCGCCCCGCTACTTCAGGTGGGCGCTACCGCAGCAGGACTTCTGTACGCCCCATTGGTGAACCCACATGTCAGTCACTTGTCATTCGCCTGGTGTGTGGGGAGGTGGGACTACTCCTGAGAGATCCTGTCTTAAGCCACACAATTTACAAAGTCAACATGTTGGTATTTCTTTCTCGTAATCTGCCATAAAGTCTGAGAAATTATTGACATTTGAGGCATCTGTTTCATATTTTCTTTACAAAGGTCCTGGCAGTTTTATTCCTGGTCATTTTTTGTTAAGAGACTGAGTCTATTTTATTTATTGTTTTTGGTTGTTTGTTAATTTATTGTGTTCTAGCGTTAAATATTCGTTAAAAATAAAAGTTTATTTCTCTTTGAAAAGGTGTACCTGCATTATCATTGTAATCGATGCCAATGATCTCAGAACGACAATATAATCGCTTATCGCAATAATTTGAGACAATTAATCGTCCAGCAAAAACATGTTTGCTGCGTCATTTGCATATTGTCCCCTAGATCCAGGGGTGTCCCAATTCTTAGGGAGAATGTTGTGAGTGTGAGAACTGGGACGGGGCCAACGTCTCTATTTTTTATTACTATATATCTAAATGTGTAACTATCACTGTTGTGCAGTGAAAATTGTTATTCAAAAGTTTCTTTTCAAACTCACTTTGTATTGAGGCTGCTTCAGCCGACGGCTGCGGCGAGGCCTGAGTCTAGGGCTGGGCCGAGGCCAGAGACGAGGCCAGAGACGAGGCCAGAGACGAGGCCAGAGACGAGGCCAGAGACGAGGCCAGAGACGAGGCCAGAGACGAGGCCAGAGACGAGGCCAGAGACGAGGCCAGAGACGAGGCCAGAGACGAGGCCAGAGACGAGGCCAGAGACGAGGCCAGAGACGAGGCCAGAGACGAGGCCAGAGACGAGGCCAGAGACGAGGCCAGCGGTTCTCTGATGGACAATACATTTTTCAAGTACAAACATGTGATTAGTGCTTAAAAGTCTCCAATTGAATGACTATAAATGTAAATGTGTAACTATCACTGTTGTATGGAAGACTATTGGCACCTTAATTCAATTGTCTATTCATTTGTCAAATGGCTATGCATTATGTTATTTTAGTATTTATTTTGTATTTGTATTTGTCAAAGTGTAATGTTATATCCAATTTTGACATTTAATGTTCTATTCCAAAAGTTCTAATGGCAATTCAATATGTAAAGTGTCGATACAATGTCTTTATATATTGCAAATTACAAGATTTTGAAATGAATAGCATATTGACATGGAAATTTGGCCTCTTTATTCATTGTTCTATTCATTCTTAACATGGCATTTAGTTTAGAGTTGTATTTGGCAAAATTGCATGTTATATCCTATTTTGACTTGTATTCCACATTTGAGTATGTTAAGTTTCATTTAATGTGTTGTGAAACAGCACCTCCCTCTGGATTGCATTGCATATTGCATTGCCACATGGTTTGAGTGAAACTTAATTTAATATGCTATGCCCCTGGGAAGGCGGGCCCTGGTCCGCTCTCGGCCAATCAGAGACGAGTCTATATCCTCCTAGCTAGATGCGCTGTGTTGTTGATTTTTGCTGGAAGTAAATGCCGTTATGACGGATTGGAAGTAACAGATCACCCTTCATGAAGATTCCAAGTTACTCTAAGGAGGTTCTATGAAAGTATAGAAGTGTGTTTGTTAAAATACCAGTAGTTCTTTTTTTTTAGAAAACACTACTGCCAGTGTGATCTGTTACTTCCAAACACACTTCTATACTTACATAGAACCTCCTTAGAGTAACTTGGAATAATTATCACCAATATTATCGTGCATCCCTAGTTTTTTAGGTATAAATCCAAAAAGACTCTCGTTGGAGTAATAGTTTGAGTCTGTCCCCTCCTCTTGAAAACATTTTGGTGTTCAATTCCACAGATTTTCAGACTTTCACAGCTTCCATGTCCATAGTATGACAGTACACTTCTTTGTAGTGTACTGTCATACTATAATGGAGGTTCCCCGGTTTGATGGCATATTTATGCTCAGTCTGTTTTTTAATTTTCTTGTAGTCCTTCTACATATTCTGTATTACAGTTTGCAAATTATTTTATCTCATAGTCCTGCTGTGTGTTGACAGCAGGACTACAAGAGTAGTGTCCCTAAACACTTCCAATAATAATGATGTATGTATGTAATGATGTCCTCTACAACATAGGTATCAGAGTCAAGGATCGGGGGTCAGATCCGGCCCGCGAAGAAATTATATTGGCCCTCGGGAGGTTTTTTTGATAAGTATTAGAACTTATCAATATTATTAGAGCCATAAAAAAATAATAGATAATTCATTTAATGTTAAGGACATGTGTTTTCTCTTTGAAGGAAGTTTGTTTTTAATAAATAATGGTACACTGTGTTAGGTCTAGGTTCCGTTATATGTGTAGGGTAACTAAATGCATATACGTCTTAGATGCAGTGCATTTGGATACATTGCATATCTAAAACATATCTACACAGTCGTAACTATTCCTTATTGGAAATTCCCTTATATCTACCTTTATAAGGGTGAGCTTGTTCTAAGAATGGTCTAATTTTGACTAATATAGAGATACCCTATCTCAAGAGGGGGAAAGAAAAGTCTCAAGACCCAACTAAAAGAATCAAGCGGGGTTTTAAAATCAATCTCATAAATATCTAAAAGTGTGATTTCTATTCGCCAGAGAGCCCAAACTACTAACTAATAACACTGGAGGCTGATAGACTTAGCTGTTTATTTACCAAACGAAAAACCTCAGAGCATAAGAAACTGTGTGAGTCACAATTCAAAGAATGTGCACAATAACCCAAAAGCAGACACATTTAAACACATCGGTATTCAACGATACTTCTTACTGTGTGAAGGTTGCTTTTAGTAAAGTTTCTTTGTTGGTGGACACGTGGTCCGGCTTTGATCCCAGAAAAGTTCCTTTGTTGTTGTCTCCTAGTATACGGCTGTGTAGCGTCGCGTCCCTTCCCGCTTGTTGTTGTGCGGGGGAGAAAGCAGTTGATTGAGCAAGTTCAGGGAGTTGAAACGAGCCTGCTTGAGCTCATACGCACGGATCCAGCCGCGGGCACAGAACGTGAGGGCCGAAACCCAGGAGAGACGAAAAGCCGAGGAGAGCAAGAAGGCCAAAAATTCAAGAGAGCGCGCTCTGCATTCAGACTGGTTTTGTCTCCAGTCTTAGGGGCGGGTACGTTGTAGTCACTTCCTGTTTCCGGCTTTTCACAACACAGGAACTTCTGGGCATGAGACATATTAAACACAATTGTTTAAAGCACAAACACTTCAACAGACATCGTGACTCACACTTCAATAAAGATTAATGACAACAGAGATGCAGGTTTACATTTTAGTTGCATATACAGCACACTTAAGTTTGGAATGTGTGTAGTCCTTTGTTGCCGCTAGGGGGCACTAAAATCACAGTCTGAGAGTCCTGGTCTGGTAGATGGAACAGCAGCAACAACGGTCTGGATTCTCATCCTACATATGCAATCATCATCCATCCATCCATCCATTTTCTACCCTTTAATCCATTTCTGGGTCAGGGGGGTGGCAGTCAGAGATGCCACCCAAGTCTCATAGCACCAGCCCCTCACTGACCCTCTGCAGGTGGTGAGTCCACAGGAGGACGGCTGCTCTCTGAGTGTGAGCAGAGCCTTGATCTTTCAGTGGGGGCTTTGGGCAAAGTGGGGTTAAGTGTCTTGCCCAAGGACACAACGACAGCAGCCATCAGTGGGAGTCGGTGGAGAAGGTGTAGAGGTGGGAATTGAACCCACGACCTTCAGGCCTGAAGGCCAATGCTCTACCAACTGAGCTACTGTCGCCCCTCATCATCATAGTATGTTTTAATAAACATTGAACCAGTCCTGCCCTCGGCTTGTAGAAAATTAGTTGTTTTGATGTATTTGACCTCCCTGCTCTTCAACCTCATGACTTTAATTGCAGAATGCAATGTCAGTGTTTCCCACAGGATTGGAATCAATGTGTGAGGACGCCCCCTCGCAAGCTTTACACAAAACTTTAATGCACTAAATTTAACATCCTACACAAAAGTGTAGGAACTTTAGAACAGCTGTACACATTTCACACCCTGGTTGAAGCCTGACAATATTATAAACAAATTAATAACATAACTAATTTCACTGGTCGGACTGTTCAGCTGTTTCAGACTCATACCTCCGGTTCAGGCTGGTCCTCATCCTCAACACGTGCCTTTTAACATCACGGCAAATACTGTTCAATACTCATCTGGATTGAAGCAGCAAACATTCAGTGGACGAGTAAACAAATGACATAACATTATCTACAATACGTTTATTTAATTCAAAGCTGCTACATATGTGTTTTGACCTGACAACCCATGTTCCCTCTAAATTTTCATGGGTCAGGGCAAAAAAACAACCCCCTGAGCGGCACGTGGAACACTTTGAGCGAGAGATCTGTTAAAAAACATTCACATTTTTATACACCTGCTGTATGCACCTGCTGTATGCACCTGCTGTATACACCTGCTGATTCTCAATCTACAATCAACTGATTCGGTTCAATAGTCACTTGATCATTATTCAAATTAGTCTTTTATAGATGGTGAATTAAAGTAGATTGAGGAATATATTTGGTGAATTGCACTTAAAACACAAAATATCCAAAGTCGATGTCTATTCATATTCAATATAGAATAAATGGATACTAATACAAAAAGATAATAATTGTCATAATGCCACAAAAACTAACTTTACTCCGCAATAGGCAACTTTGTGCTAAACTGAAGGGGACGCTGGTCTGAGCAGACCTGGTCTTCCCTACATAAGTGTGTGCGCGTTAGGCGTGTTTGTGGCTCCGCGCACACACTGCAGCTGGTGTAGTGCTCGTGAGACACCGCTCACAAGTCCGCGGTAAGACGGAGTGCGTGAGTTCACGGTGTGCAGGGTGCAGTTGGTCCGAGCCCTGTTCTTTATCAAACGCAGCTTCAGATTTCTGTGTCGGGCGCTTTTGCGCACGCGTGCAGCTGAGACGGAACATTGCTGACAACCCAACTACATTTACCCCAAACTTGCGACTCTAACTTTCTAAGAAAGGCGAATTCGTGTGTTTGCTGGAGATGCAGGGAGCAAAGGGGCTGTGTGTGTGAGAGCAGTGTTGAGTGAGAGAGACGCGTGGGTGACAGACATGCGGAGAGCAGAGAAAAAACATGGCAGCGGAACGAATACGCTGTGTGTTTTAAATAACCTTAAATATTTAAATATTAGAAAAAAAACAAACGCAATATGTGGCGGTGATCTGACATGTCTTTGTTGTGTTTGTTGCAGATCTACAAAGTCCATCTACAGAATGGGGTTCACCTGTGATCAGTGTGGAAAGACCTGCAGCTCTGCTTCCAAACTAAAGAGACACTACAGAACTCACACTGGAGAAAAACCATACAAGTGTCATCTGTGTGGAACAGGTTTTACTACAAAAAGAGATCTCGGGCGCCACAACAGAATCCACACTGGAGAAAAACCCTTCAGCTGTGACTTCTGTGGTCAGAGTTTTAGACAAGAACGTCATCTCAAAGATCATCAGAGGATCCACACAGGAGAGAAACCATTTGAGTGTGACACGTGTGGACAAACATTTAGGATCAAACAGCAGCTCTCACTACATCCGTGTGTCCACACAGGAGAGAGACCTCACCAATGTGACCAGTGTGGAAAGACTTTTACACAATTAGCTCACCTCATTCGTCACTACAGAATCCACACAGGAGAAAAGCCATTAGTCTGTGGAGACTGTGGAAAGGAATTTACTCGGTTTTACTCCTACAAAATGCATGAGAGAATTCACACTGGAGAAAAACCATTTCCATGTGACCTCTGCAGCAAAACTTTTAGAACTGCATCACAGCGCACAGTTCACCATCGGATCCACACTGGAGAGAAGCCGTACAAGTGTGATGTTTGTGGACACAGTTTTTCCCGAAAAGGAGATCTTAATAAACACAAAAGAACTCACACTGGAGAAAAACCGTACGAGTGTGATCAGTGTGGAACAGCTTTTTCTACAAAAGGAGGTCTCGAGGTCCACAGCAGAATCCACACTGGAGAAAAACCCTTCAGCTGTGACGTTTGTGATCAGAGTTTTACTCAGAAGTCTAATCTCAAAGTGCATCAGAGGATCCACACTGGAGAGAAACCATTTGTCTGTGAAAAGTGTGGAAAGTCTTTTACTCAAAAGTTATCTCTTCGTCGACACAATAAAACCTGTGAGAAGCAGGTGTGAAGACGCAGCATCTGGAACAAAGTGAAGGAGACAGAGCTGAGGCCGCATCATGTGAACCCAGAGTCAGACTCTACAGGATCACACTTCAGTCTTAACCCTGTGCTGCAGCTGCTGAGCTTTACAGACCAAACTCTTATTGTGGCTTTGAACATCTTTACTTTGTGTCTGGAGACTCGGATACATCATGTTTTTGTCTGAAAGGAAAATCTTATGCTTCCTTTAAAGCTGCATCAAGTGTAAGATTCAAACTGACATGTGATGAAGAAGGAGACAAAGTGGGGACATTATTATTCTGAACTAAACTGCAGATAAAAACTATTGAAGAAGCAGCTGAAACAATAGTGAGTGTGGCAACACATAAGTGTGTGTCTGTGCCTTTGTACGGCGTCTCTGAGTTTCCACAAAGCTCTATATAAGTCCTGTTTTATTATTGTGTGTGATCCATGTGTCTTTAAGGTCATCAGTCACATGCTGAGTTTCTGCTGTGTGTGTGATCCGTGTGTACGTGTGAGTGTTATAATACATTCTACTGTAATGTAGTACTAGTATAAAGTGTGTGTGTCTTAAGCCTGGTTCACACGGCAGGATAATTAGGCCGATTTTGGATCCTATTTACCCCTACGACAATCGTAAGAACGCTCCGAATATCGTAACAAAAAATCTGACGGATTTTCCTGCCGTGTGTGGTGTGTTAAGACTGTGCTCGTCGCTCGGAAGGACTTCGGGACTGCTCCGATCTCAATATCGGGGATATCCAACATGTCGGATTGTTTTGGCCCGATTTGCATCTCCGACATTAAAACCTGGATGGAAAATAACCTTCTCAAACTCAACAGTAACAAAACAGAACTCCTCATCATCAGCCCCAAAACTCTCCTGCCCTCTGTCCAGAACTTCACCCTCCTCATTGACGGTCGCATTGTCACCCCCTCATCCTCTGTACGCAACCTTGGCATCATAATGGACTCCACCATTATGGCAACGGCCTCCTCTACGGACTTCCCACCACTCATCTCCAAAAACTGCAATACATCCAGAACTCTGCAGCCCGCCTCCTCACCCACACCCGGTCCAGAGAACACATCCCCCCCCCTGTCCTCCAGCAGCTCCACTGGCTCCCCGTTCAATACCGCATCCATTACAAGCTCCTCCTCCTCACCTACAAGTCCCTCCATAACCTGGCCCCGCCCTACCTTACTGAGCTCCTACAGCAGCACCAACCCACCCGCTGCCTTCGCTCAGCCAATTCCAACCTCCTCACCCCCATCACCCGCACTAACCGCCAAACCTTGGGGGACAGAGCTTGTGCCATTGCCGCCCCAACCCTGTACTCAAAACCCATCTTTTCAAACAAGCTTTTCCGTAAACCCCTTTTTATTATTGTATTCTACTCCCCATGTGAAGCGTCTTTGAGTGTCCAAAAAAGCGCTATACAAGTTTGATTTATTATTATTATTATTATTTCTCTTCGTGTGTGGTGTCCCCCGGGGACAGACGAGCGCGTTGCCATGACTGCGGCGTGTAGCCAATCAGAAGACGAGACGAGCCGGTGAGGAAACACCGTAAAAAAACCCAAAACAGTCAGCGGCATGGCGCACCAGAAAGTTCGGTGGACATCAGAGATGGAGGAACAACTAGTTGACCTCTGGCAACACTGTGAATGTATGTCTGACGTGTCGTGTAAAGAATTTCATCACCGAAATGACAAGGAGAAGAATTGGGCAGAAATTGCTGCTGCACAGGTAGTGTTGGCATAAGCCCTATTCGGACGGGATTAGTACTAAATGATCAGACTGATGGTTGTGTTTGTACGTTTACTTTGTACTCTGTCCTAATTTAGTACAGACGTGTTGATGCAGCCGTGCTTGTTGGTTTACGCGTATGTAAAGTTTCATGTCTAGCAGTGTGTGTGATGCGTTCACAGGTAGTCCGTACAAACTGTATTATTGAACAGCACAGACAGCACGGACCAGAGAACTGCAGAGCAGTAAAATCCACATGTTTGTCCTCATGGTGTCTGTGGCTGCTGTGGTCAGACAAGAGTCTCTATAGGCTGCGTGAAGCGGAGAGGCCCGCACACTCTGTTTACTCTGAAGTCACGCTTGATCTCGTGAGATGTTGTGAGATTTCCGTCTGACCTGTGAATGCTCTGGGGTTAAATCGGTTCGTGTGTGATGTGTGTGGTTTGTGTGAATTTGCCGTGTGGCTGCGCACCACACACTGTACGACCAAAAAGGTTAGACCCGTGATTTTTATCTCCGTGTGTGGGGTCTCACACGGAGAAAAAATCGGCCGACAATTTTAAAATCGTCTCATGTGAACCAGGCTTTAGAAAGAGTCCTTTCTCACACATCAATGTCAACATATATATTTGTAGAGCGTCATGTGGCTTCAGTGTTGTGTGTTTCATTCAGACCTGTCAATCATTGGTGTTTATCACAGTCTTATTCTTGCTTCATGATGTAAATGACGTGGTTTGAGTTGTTTGTGAATAAACGCGTGTACAGTTGTGTAGCCGCTGTTGTGTGACATCATTCATATATTGTGATGTTTGTTGTAGAAAAGCACACACACAGTTTGAGCAACATTAAAGGGTGGTTCTAGTGCGGCTGGTTTTAAGGCTGATATATGAACATGTTGGAATCATCACACACAGGATTCTAATCCCTCAGCTCCACATTTATGAAGGAGTATGGCGCCCCCTGCTGCTGTGCTGCAGGACTACAGTCACACTGAGAGGCACATTTGAAAGTGAGTGTCTTTGGCTGAAATTGTCCATTGAATGTATTTAGAGAAGGCCTCGTTCAACAACAGAGACATCACTCCTGAGTCCTGTCCTGTCCTGGTCCTGATGAACATCTGAAAGCATCAGTTACACATTTGTGACGACGTTTCTTATCTGCAAACTCAGCAGCGTTGGAGCGACAGTGAGAGCCAAAGAACCATCATAAACCTGTGATGGAAGAATAACTGCTGTCAGCTGCTCAACGAGGACACTGCTGTAGGATCTGGGACATGCTTGGTCTGAAATGGACTTTACCAACTAGATCTGTGTGTGTGTGTACTGTAGAGAATAGGGACGCACACATTGTACATATGTGAGTAGAGTTTTATTACACGTGTTTAACTCCTGTGGACTCACTACCTGCAGAGGGTCAGTGAGGGGCTGGTGCTATGAGACTTGGGTGGCATCTCTGATTGCCACCCCCCTGACCCAGAAATGGATTGAAGGGTAGAAAATGGATGGATGGATGGTGTTTCATTTTCTTTTCTATCTTTATTCCTTACTTTGTTGAATTCATCTTTCTCTGTTCTCGTCTCCAAATATTGTGTTTCCTCCTATTGTGTTGGAGCCCAAGCTTTCCCAGGCTTCCTGAGAATGTTTAATTAAAAGTGTGACATGTGCTATAGAAAAGTGTGAGGCCCCGCCCCCTGAGAGAGTGCAGCTGTAAAGAGACGCAGCAGAGACACAGATGAAGAACAGACTTTAAACCTCTTTTATTCACCTGTGGATCTTTGATCAGACTTTAGTGTCGTGCTCAGACTGAGCTGCTCCTTACAACAGTCTGTAGAAGTTTGGGATTTTCCACTGGACGTTTTGGTCTGAAGGTGGGAGCAGACTTCTCTACTGTCTCCATGGCGACGCTGAGGAGAGCTTCTGTGTTCTGACTTGGTATAAAACCATGTGAACGCTGTGAAGCTCTGGTCGTGCGGCTTACGCTGTGAACTAACAATAAAACATGTCTTCTGCTGAGACTCCATCCCAGACTCTGCATCTGAGCCTTTTCTTCAGTCTTCAAGAATATTTACTGACTGGAAACACATGAAAGTGAAAGTATTTATGGAGACCACATTAACACTGGATACAGGACTCTTTTCTGCATCAATAACGCACAATGCTTTTCCCGACAGAAAGACTCTTGTAAAAGTAACAGGTGTAAAATATTATTATGTGTTGGGGTCCAAAAGTCTGGCCTAAATCTTCGGTCAGAAAGACTGCAGCTGATCCAGAGTGGTCGAAATGAAAGGTTTATTGCAGCGTTGACATCATGAACATCGGTTTGAACAGATTGGGATTGATGGGTACAAAGAGTGTGTATGTTTATTTCACTGAGCTCAGCAGGGACGTGCAGTCAGGGGAGGCAGGGGAGGCAGAGCCTCACCTGCCATTATTGGAAACTAATAATTATTTTAGTTTAAATATATAATTTATATCCACTGTCCTATGCTTTTAATGTATATTCGGCACGGTTCCCATCAGTTTTGATCATTTCTGAAGTCAAAATCGCCGAAATCCCGTTATTCCTATTCAAAGAGACGAGGTGAGGCAGCGCTCCTGCGTGCCTCACCCCAGACCGCTCCTTCACAGTGTGTGTGTGTGTGTGTCTGAGTGCACTCAGCTCGTGCAGTTGATATATCACCGTTTGTTTCAAATATCCTGCTTTAAAAACATTTTTTAAAC